TAGCAATATATCCTCAATCTGATGAGTAGATCATTGACACAGGCAGGGTGACATCAATACTACAAAAGGAAATGATCAGGCTCATCACTTGAGCTATTTTTGAAGCTTGGGAGGGCCCTGTCATACATACAATTCTCCATTTTGCTTTCTTCAAACTTGACCCTGTGCTATCTTGTTCCCTCCGTGCTGTCTTTCCTCATGTCATTTTCTAGACATGCAGTCTGATGCAGTCTGAAAATACTAAGAAAAACTACTGTCTTCCAAAACCCTAAGGCACTTTGCACCGAAAACATAACTTTATCCGGGAGAGCAACTTCCCAGGGACACCAAAACATAGGATGAAGCTGATTGTGCCTGCCTTTTCCAACACTTCTGTTTCTGTCCTTGGGTTGATTTCTGTAGCCCTCTATAGGGGGTACCCTTCACCAATTTAAAAAATAAAACATAATTTTTTTAAAAAAGTGTTTCCTACTGGCTTGGGCTTAGCATGGAGATTGTGATAGTGCTCCTCAGAAATAACCTCCTCAGCGCTGATGGTTTGATCCAGCTGAGCTGTGTACCACTTTTCCTTCCTGTTGGGCTGAGCAGGGTGGTGAGTGGGGATCTCAGAGCCTGACAGGGAGCTCTTCCCTGTGCAGAGTTTCTGGTGGCAGCTGAGTGCTGTGGAGGGAAGTTGTTCTGCTTCATGTTTCAGATTTCCAAGATTGCCTGTGCGACATCAGACACTGCACTGCAACAAAGCCTGTAAGGAACAGGAAAGGCTCTGAGACGTACTGGAGAAGCTACTTGCGCTCCTCACCAGAGGAACACTTTGAGATGCTGATAGCACAGTGACCCTACCAAGAACACAGGATCTTCATAGCACTGTCTCTGTGCTTGGATGCCAGGGAAAATGTCCAGAATGATCTTTTGTCTCAGCTCTTTGGACTCACGCTACAGTGATGGATGCTTTTAGAATCCGAGGTGGGGCTTTGCTTGTGTCTGAACCTGCAGCCATTGGGAGCTTACAGCTTCCCAGTCTCGTGTAGCTCATGAATGCCAGTTGATATTCCTTGTCCTGCAGCGAACCTGCATCAAATCCATCTCAAGTTCTTTTCTCAAATAGCTTAGGGAGTGATTCCCAGGCTATAATTTTGAATACAGAGCTGGTCAAGGAAAGTCAGCATCTCTTTCTTATATTTTGTTGCTCCCACAGTTTCTTGGTGGGGAAAGGGAGGAGGTGGAAGAAAGGAAAAAAAAAAAAAAAAAAAAGCCCAAGCATCCATAAAAGGGGGGAAATTACAGAAAGACAGATTCCACTTGGCCGTGCATTCAGCTTCTGCAGGGTAAACTGGAAACTTTGTTGGTAAGGTGCAATGTCCTTGTTTTGTCTGGCTGGTAGAGTTTATTTGGCTGTTGAAAGAATTATTTTGAAGGATTTGGTACCACAAAGACTTGAAGACCAACTTTAACATCTGACATTGTTCCTATGTTCAGCTCTGGGGGGTTTCTTAATGCCATCCTTGTTTCTACTTCAAGTCTAGGTGACTGCATCTGTCAGCAAACATACCAGGTGTTGGAGAAAAAGATGTCAGGATGTCATTTACCGGCTGGTGAAGGAGGCAGATCTTTTTCATCTATGTTCTTTCATGTGGAGAACGGCAGCTCAGAAGTTGTTGTAGAATCCTCTCCATCTTACTCTTTCTTCTTTTTCCCTCTCTGCTTTAGCATGGTAGCAGTGCTGCCAGCCTCAGGATTCCTGAATCATGACTCAGGAACCATGAGATGCAGGAACCTGAGGGTTTGCTTATGCTCCTAGAACAGGGTAGACACTGGTGCTTGCTTGGCCAGCTCCTTGCTCACCCTTGCACCTCAGATTTCTTTGCTCAGTTATCCGAGTGCTCTTCCTGCTCTTTGGCTCCTTAATGAGTCTATCACAGTTTGTTCTTTCCTATCTCCAGGTCCAGTGTTGTCACACCCTTCCCACCACTTTTAGCTCCCCTTTTCTCCCCATTTCACTGCCTCCTTACTTCCAAGACTAGCTTGCTTGTTCAACTTGTCCTAGTCTTCCCTCTTTCTAGGCCCTGCTTCCACTACAGCTATCAGTCTTGACTTTTTTTAACCCCGTGTACTCGGATTTTCAATCTAGTTGTGTTATTCAGCCAGTCAAGGTTCTTTTCTCCCTTTTCCACCCCTTCATTTTCCAGTAACTCCCCCTGTCTTAACCCTCACACCGGTTCTAGTATTATTAGGCTTCTTGCCCTCACCTATTCTCTGTGCTGCCCTTCCCCAAGGGATTTGCCATCCTCCCTTCACTCGCCTGCTCCTCCTTTACCCTGTCTAGACCCAGAGCAGTAAGCAGCAACTGGGTGCTTGCTCTGGCAGCTCAGGCAGGGCAGTGGTTGCAGAAGACGGGCAGCTTTTACCCGCAGCCCTACGACATGCACGTACGCTTATCCCACCTTTGTGAGGCCGTGGCCAGTGACGGTGGATCCTCGAAGAACTACGTGGTGAAAGTCTAGTGTCCCTACAGATTTTTTACAATTTTATTTTGAAAGGCTTACCATTTATCAAAATTTAGCATGGATTTTTCTGGGGAGAGTGAGTTGTGTAGCTCTGATGCGAGGACAGGTCTCCTTCTTAGGCTTCAGCTTCCTTCTCAGAAGCAGCTGGGCTGGAGTTGTTCATAGTAAAGGGCTGTTCTTTTTAATGTACACTTTAATGGGCTAAATCAAAATATTGTCCTCTGCTTTTTTTTCCCCCAAAGTAGATTAAATATTCAGGCTGAAGCTGTATTTAAAAAGAACAAAAAAAAATATATATATATATATATATTAAAAAAACGCAGATGGAGGCCAGAATGGAGAATTTCAGCTCTAATTTTAAGTTAGAAGCAAGTGAACTGTTTACAGCGGGAATGCCCAGACAGTCTAATTCCAGCTCTGCTGGTGACTTTCTCCTTGCAAAAATCTGCAGATTGAACTTGCCACTCTGGGATCAGTCACATCGCTGTCCCTAGCAACTTCAGAATGAGGAAGGAATACAGTACTCGCTTTGCCGTAGATTATGCCTTCTCAGAAGCTTTGTCTGGACTGTGAGGCAGATGGAGAAATGAGGCCTGATAGCTGGAAACAGTTACTTCACACACAAAGCCTGCGATATTTTTTTGGAAAGAGAGAAGGGCAAACCTGAAACCTGGAGTTTTTTATAACGTGGTTGGTCTGTTAACAATGTCACCAGAGTAAACTGATCCATTTAAAAACAGTCTTGTTACACCTTCAAAAAGCACTGGTGCGGACATGTTCAAGCCTCACCTAAGATGAAACATTCCGAAGTGGTATCATTAAAGGTGGCGAGTTCCTAAAGTAAGGGATGAGGCGCCTGTTCACGTAGTGCCATCAAACGGAGAGCCTGCCGGCTGGCGTGGCTCACTGCCCGGGACGCTAATGCCCCTCCTGTGCCTCCTTGGGGCAGCAGCCCGGCTGTAGCAGTTGCCCCGTTTCTGTGAGAGGTGGAAGAGGGGGAAGGCTGCACGGCACAGGACCTGTGCTGGGGGCTGAGGAGGACGGGAGGAGAGGGAGGAGAGCGTGCAGGGGAGGAAAGGAAACGGCTGCCAGCGGGGCAGGCGGGCCCTGAAAAGCGGGGTGCCCCGCTGGGGTCCAAGGATGGCTGCTGAGGTCAGACCTCCTCCTGCAGCTCTTGTGCCGTGAAGTGCTGGACTTGGCGCTGGAGCAGGCACTGAGCATGCACGTCTTCCACTCTGTCACCAGAGCCAAGAAAGAAGCAGCTCCTACTGCAGTGGGTCGGTAGGGGATGGCCAGGGACCGGGAGCACCCAAACTGCGATGGATTTCCACTGTGTGCCCAATCCACAGATCTGTCCAATTAAAAGCCGGGCTTGGGGCAGTTTAAGTTCCTCCTCTGCATTAGGCATTTTCAGTATTTTACTAAACAGATTCAACATTGATCTAAACATGTCATGTGCAGATGGTATAGAATGGACCGTATGTTGCAAACTAAAGCTCTGTGTTAGCTCAGCCTGGCATGACCTGGCTTGGCCCTTCAGTTACTTGCTATGTAAAAGAAGCAAAAGGCAGCTATCTTCCCGAGAATGCAGACTGGAGACCTACTTAGTAGGTGCCCAAGTGCACAGAAACATGAAAAACAGCAAATGGGAAGGATCGTCAAAAGGACTCGGTGCTTCCAGGCTCCAAGTCCAGAGCTCCTTCTCCAAGACCGCGGAGCGCTGCGTTGCGTTCGCTTGCTTGCTTGTTTCTAACCGATGCCAGAAGATCACCTGTGGACAAAATGTACGACAGGCAGGAGAAACCGCGCCGCCGTTTGCAGGCTGCATCCTCCACTGCCTTGTGCTCCCCTGCAGACGTTTTCCCCCGTTAGCAGATCTGCCACAGGGGGACGGACTCCCTGTAAAACACGGAGTTTGTAAAGGGGGGCTCCTGCATCCACCGCCGGAACGCCGCCAGACAAAGGGACCACACCTCGCCGGTACTGCCGGTGAGGGTGACCGGCGCCGGCGCTGCCGGTGGGCACGCGGCCGTAGGTTTGCTCCCGGCAGACCCCTTCTCTGCTTTCACCGGGATGAGGCCGGACGGAGAGCCTTCCCCCCCCCCCCCCCCCGAAGCAGCCGCAGCGGGTTTCTTGCTGGGAAAACAGAATCCTTCCCGCCTCTCCTTGCAGCGGTGTCCAGACTTGCTGCTGCTGCTCCACAAACCTCATCCCCCTGCGTGTTCTGTGGGGATCTGCCTGAACAGACACGGGCCCTTCGCTGCGACCTACCCCGCTTCGTGCCGAGGAAACACCTCGCTGCCGTGCCGCTGCGTGTTATTGTTTCCCAGCCTGCCTAGCTATTTTTAATCCACAAAAATCTATCATTTTGGCGCCTCCATTCAGGGTGTGGGAAATTACGTTTTTTTGGGTTCCTTTCTGCATACAGATTTTTCACATGTTGTTTCAGCTTTTGAGGTTTACACTTGCTATTCCTCCCTTAGATATCGGGACACTTTTGCTGGCCTTAACAAGCAGTCAGTGTTACAAGTGCTAAGCTGTACTTCTGAGGATGGGTAGTGAGTACGTCCAGTATAACCACCGAGCAGCTCAGAAATGCTACCACGAGCCCGTAACAAACATTAAATACAACAGGGCCACAAAAGCAGCGACGGAGCTGAAAGCAAAACCTGAAGACAACGGTAAAAACCATGCTCAGAAGCAAAATACGTTCATGAGAGCAGAGGGCAAGCTGAGGAGTCACCTTCCACAGCAGGCGCGTGGTAACGCAGACGCGAGTGGATAGCAAAGCTTCCTGCTCGCCAACCGAAACACGGAGAGGAGCAGGAGACCTCCCGGGCGGCAGCATGGCACCCGCCAAACTAGGTCAAGGCTCAGCGGTCGCGAAGGCTGTGCCAGCGCAGCCCCGGGCGCCGCAGCCGCAGGGCCCCGGTCCGGAGCGGGCGCGGGCACGCGACCACCTTGGCGTTGAGCGTCCCGACTGGTTTCAGTGCTTTTGTGGCGAGCGCGGGGTGGCCGGGGGGGCGGCGGGCAGCGCCTGGGCTGGGGCGGTGGACGCTGAGGGCCGATGGGGAAGACAGGGGGGCAAGCGGGCCGGCGCGGTTCTGGAAAGGCGGCGGGCCGGGGCGGGCGGCCCCGGGGGGATGGCGGGGAAGGGCCCGGGGACGCAGGCAGGGCCACCCGCCTGCCAGGCCAGGCCAGGCCAGGCCAGGCGAGGGGAGGGGAGGCGGCCCGGTGGCAGCGGCGGCGGCGGCGGCGGCGGCGGCGGCGGGGGGGAGAGGGGAGGCGGCGGGAGCGCAGGCGGCCGGCGGGGAGCCCGGGCGGGCTGCAGGCGAGCCGAGCCGCCGGGGTCCGGCCCACGGGGTCAGGCCTCAGCCGCGGCTATTATGGGATGGCAGGGCCCGAGGTGTTGGGGGGGGGGGGGGGGGGAGCGGGGGAAAGGGGGAGGGCGAGCGGCGGGTATTATGGGATGGCGAGGCCTTCTGCGGCGGGGGAGGGCGAGCCGCGACTATTATGGGATGGCGAGGCCTCCCGCGACCGGAGGGGGGCAGGTGGGTGGCAGGGAGTATTATGGGATGGCAGGCCCTCCTTGCCGCTGGGGGAGTATTATGGGATGAGGATGCCCCATCAGGCGGGGGGGGGGGGGCGCCTCGAAGCAGCCGGCTATTATGGGATGGCAGGGCCTGCGGCAGCCGGCGTGAGGGGAGAGAGGAATATTATGGGATGGCACCATTCCTGGCGCGTGTGACCGGGCGACTATTATGGGATGCCTCTGTACCTACGGCGGGCTGCCGCCGTGGGAAATATTATGGGATGCAGCGGACAGAAGAAGGGGGGGGGGGGGGGGGGGGAAGGGAGGGAGTTACTATGGGATGTCGGTGCAGCCCGGGGCGGGGAAGGGGGAGGCTGCAGCCCCGGCCAGGCTTCCAGCCGGTGCCCGGGGGGGTCCCCCCCCCTCCCGCCGGTGCCCCCGTCCCGCCCGCCCCGAGGCCCCTCGCCCCGGCTCCCCCGCCCCTGCCTCTCAGCAGTCATAACCAATAAAGCCGGCAGGGTATTCTGGGATGGCTCCTCCACGGTGTGGGGATCGGGGTGGGGGGGGGGTGGTTGCTATGGAGCATTTCCCGTGGGTGGCTATTATGGGATGGACTCGCCTTTGTGAACTATTATGGGATGCGGCCGGCTCGGCAGGGTGGGGCCGCCCAGGAGAGTTGCTCGGGGCCTCGGCCCCGCCGCTCCTCGGGGTGGGGGGGGCAGGGGCACGGCGGGGCTCGGCGGGAGGGTGCAAATGCAGGGAGGCATCAGAGGCGGGCAGGCACAAAAACGCGGTGGGGACCATGGCTGCCAACTTCACGTGGGCTTTGTAGAAATCCTCGGATGGGTCCCCAGCACGGTGAGGCTGCTGTTAGTCGCTCCTGCCTCCAGGAGTCTGTGGGCTGCTTCTTGCTCTCAAAGCAAATTCTGTTGCCTGCATAGTTGGGGAAGGGAAAAAACACACAGCCCTTCAAACTGGGGGCTCCAGGGCATCCCAGTGACTTGCAATAAGGAAGGTGCTTAAACATTGTTCCCAAATGTATCTTTTTTTTTTAGCCATGTTAAGTCCAAGTGTAGCAAAATTAAGACCTGGCAACTTCGAGAAACGTGCACATACATAGCACAAAGCAAGACCTGTGCCCGAATAGTTCCTCTCAGAGCAGGACCTGATATGCGATCACTGATTTCTGCACTGTTGGCACAGCCCCAGAGTTACTGGGCTGGTTGTTACCTGTTACGGGACAAGGGAAAACCTCTAGATACTCGTGGCTCTAGCAGCTTTGCAGACCGCTGGCTGGTTTTGAGCTGAAGGTGACTTGGTAGGTATCGCCATCAAGATTTGAATCTCGCATGTCCTCTCAAGCAAGCCCAAGTCCATCAGCTCTGCTCAACACCAGTGGGGTCCACACCCAATTGAATGGGGTATGTAACCTCAAGGATGATTTGCACTGTTCCCCGTAGCACAGTTGTTGCTGGGTCCAGTGCTGGAAGCACCTCTCCCAGATCCAGCTGGAGCTAGGAGATAAAGGAGAATTCTGTCCCAGCCTGCATTTTCAGTATTTCTGCTAACTGAGCTCGGGAGGAGGTGTGTTAGCAATTTTTGCCAGCATGCACCAGCTTTAATACAGGACGCAAAAATAGGTATCACAGAATTGCAATCCAGGCAGCTCAAACCAATAGGCCATTACCGCAGTCCCTTTGAGACTACTTGCTGCTTCTCTGGGTGGATCCAACTGTTTGTTTCATGAAGAGGGGCGCAGGGCACCTCTATCTAAGGCACTTCAGGGAAATGGGAAACCTAAAAACGATAACTAATAAGAATCCTCAGCTTTTGGGTATTGCTTCCAGCTTTCATTATTCATTATATACAAAATTCTGTGTTAAAAGGCTGGTAATGTTGCAAAGTCAATTTTCCTCAGTTGCAAGACAACGTTTATTTTTTACATCTTACTAAATGCCTCCATCTTCAGAAAAAAAAGGTGAAGATAAACATGGAAAATTCGCATCTGAATGTCTGATGTCTGGTGAAGTTCTGAGTAACTGAAAACAGACTTGTGATGGAAAATATCAAGTAACCTTAACTATAGGTGTCAGTACCAAGTATGTCTGTGATGTTTTTTAAAGCGAGCAAAATAGCAAAGCATAGAGAGATAGAGAGCAACAGTTCAGATTTACAGGGGGCTGAGCGATCCCCAGTCCTCTCTGTCTCTCCCCCCACGGCAGTTCTCTGCCGCTAGCACTGCCTCATGCACCATGCACGTCTGGCTGACGCAGCGTGGCTCTGGCTGCACGGCCACACCGTTCACCCTGCCCCCTCCTTCTCCTGGCAGAACAGGAGACGAGGCTCCTGACGAGTGCCGAGCAAAGTCTGAACTGCCGTTCTTCTAATGGGAAGCAGATGCAGAGTCATGCTGGCGTATGGGAAGTCCTCACCTGTTGGAGAGATGGGATCCTCCATTGACACCGGAACATTGTTCTCAGTAAAGAAGCAGGCGTCGTCTGTTCAGTGGTTCTTGCTTTTGTTCTGGTTGTATACTCCCAAATTTCTCTGTGTGCAGGTCTCTGTTCCTTGTTTCAGTGGCATTTGCTGCAGGAGCAGCTTCTTGGAGGTGACAGGAGGGGCTCTTGTATTTTCTCCACAAGACAAGGAGACTATGTCTTGTATCATTTTGTTCCATGTCTGACATCAAAGCAAAGATACTTCCATTGTGGTAAACAAATAAGCTCATGCTTCTCTTTGAAAAAAAGCAAAACAAAACAAAAGAATAGAGTGAGGGGGGCACGATGAAGAAAGCAACAATGAAAATGGATCATTTAGATTTCCTTAGCTTGCCCTGGAGACTTGGCAGAAATCTGGAAGTGGAGAAAAGTATCTCAGGCAGAGGAAGGAGCTTTGTAGTGTTGGGGAAGGCTTGCAGAATTCAGAACAATTGCTCCGGCTAGTGTTGGGGACACAGGATTCTCACGAGATAGTTTAAAATGGGAGGGGTGGGGGGCAGAAGAGGCAGAGACTCTGGGATAGTAACCAACTATTGAGTGAAAGTTTGGACCAGTTTCTTAGTAACTTCAAAATAGAAGTTACTTATCTGGGAGCTTGATACCCTTCCCCTCTAAAAATGGTCTAGGGCAAAATTCTCTGCCTTACCAAAGAAAAAGGGCAAGCCTTCTCAGAAATCCTGAGATCTTAAAGGTTACCTGGCAGAAGCTCTAAGGCCTCAACTCAGACAAGCATCAGTATGGTTAGGAGAACCCACAGGGCTGCTGAAGAGAAACACAATTCACATTAGCTACAAGTGGTCACAACTAGGTTAAAGGAAGAGGTAAAATGTACCTGCAGCCTTTGAGGAACAGCATCCCAGCACTCAAATGATGCAATACAGCAGCAGCATCACAACGGCCAGCATCTAAACCCATTAACATCTCCTCTTTGTTATTGGACATGAAAGGAGTCCAACACAAAAACTAAACTGAGAGACCATAAACAGACCTTTAAGATCACACTGTCTGCCGGGCTAGCAGGTCATGCTTATAGTCTGTTATCTGTGTCCTACATACAAACGGTTCACACTAGCCTGGAAAGTCTTCATTCTTCTCAAAATGCTCTGGAGTCCCTTCCCCCCGCCCCCCGCTCCCGCCTCCCGCACTGAGCAGCACTGCAAGACAGTGGAGGGAGGTTTCTCGCCTCCACCCGTGCCCCAGTGAAAACACAGAACAAGTCCCAGAGTAAAACAATGTTACACTTGGTTCTTCTCGTCACCTTGCAAAAACATGCCTCTCGAAAATGAAACCGAGAAAGGGCTGTGGGCCTGACAGAAGCCTGGGCAGGGGAGGCTGCCCCTCGGGAGGAGCAAAGCAGGGCAGGTCTCTCTCCTGCGTCCCCAGGCTGGGACCTAAACCCTGAGTGGCTCGAACCATGCACAAAACTACAGGAATAATTTAGAGGCCACACCAGCATGGTGCTGTGAGAATATAGAGCCCGCTTCACCCACTTGGCCTTGGAAGCAGAGCTGGGCAGAGGTGTGTGGAGGGTCCTCTGGTTAGTTTGTATTTCCCTAACATGGGTGCAGCACCCAAGTGAGGGGATGTTGCAGGCGTTTTCCCCAACAGAAGTGCTCTGTGGGGTTGTTCGGGGCATTGACACCGATCAGCAGGTAGGGAAGATTATATTACACAGATCTTGCTGCAATTGTTTCCAAGCCAAGCGCTATAAACTCAGAAGTTTCAGTTAAAGCGAGTAAGTGAACAAACCACAGTAAGGCAGGGTAACTTCCAGGTTTGAAGCAGACAAATAGCTGGAAATCTATCTTGCAGTGTTATCCTCAAGGGAAAACATTTAGAAGTCTCATTTTTTAAAAACCATTTAATCTACTCGGCCCTCACAAGCACTAAAAACACCTTAATCATAATTACTTATGTCCCGCATGGACTTTTTTAGAGTGAAAATTAAGGCTTCTGCTGACTGAGAAACTTCAAGTTACACAGGAAAAGGAGCTGGAGGGGAGGTGGGGAACCTTGGCGGCATTCATGATAAAGCTGTGTTCAGGTGTCACACAAAGATTTCAGGGAAGCGGTGGCTCATTGGGAAGCTTGGCGCTTTAGTGACCGAGGCTCTGGGATACATGTTGCCTAACTGGCAGTGAACAGCCCTCTCCAGACCACAGCCCTGCTGGCAAGAGTGTCAGGGAGCACCAGTGACTGAAACTCCCTTTGCGGGGGTCTTCGTCCACGTCGTACCTCTCACCGTGCCACCAAACCACGGGCAGAAAGAGGTACGTGCAGAGTCCAGCGGTCGGTGGTTGGGACCAGGCTGCCTAGCATGGGAATTTGGCATGGCTGTCCGCCTGGCTCCTATTAGAGAGGATTACAGCTGTCAGCGCACAAAAGAGGGAATGAAGAGTGCTGCGGGGGTCTGCGTGAGTTCGGTGGTGGCATTATCCACCATATGCTTCCGTAGCGCTGGATATTCTGTTACGCTCGATCCGTGCAGAGGATGGATAGCATCTGTGAAATAGTAGCGTGGCTCTTCCCTACCGCTTTTCCCCTGTGGAGCCGAGATAAGTGATAGCGTCATCATCATTCAGGTGAAGGTGTACGGACAGGGATAGTGCACGTGTGCGCGCCGTGGCCAGCTGAAGGGTTAGTGGGATTTCTATGCGCGCAAGAAGGTGAATAACACGACAGCGGTTTGGGACGTACAGTAGGGCAGGAAGGACGCGTGTGGGAGGGTCAGCTTGTGCTGTAGAGTGGCTGCGCGTGTAGTTTGCCTCGCAGGACTGTATCGGAGCGCACGGCGGTGACGGGCACGCGGATGAGATGGCGGAGCTTGGCAGTATCTCAGCAGAGAGGTGGTGGCGCGAGGAGGTGGGCGGTTGGGAAAGTTTGCTGCTAGTCCGAGACACTCCAGCGCGCGGCAGAGGCAACGGGGTGGTGTTACGGAATACCTGCGTGCCCAGCATAACGCGTGGACGTATTTTTTTGGTGTGGTTTGGCAGACAAAGCACAGATCACGTTACAGGATCTGTAATGACCCGTCGCAGTCCGTAACAGTAGATCTTCCACTTGCGTTCCGGGATGCCTCGCTGCGGTGGGACCAAACATGCGCGCGCACCACCAAGCGCGGGACAGCAGAGGCGTTTGTTTGGGGAGGAACGAGCGCAGTTATTGACACCCACGTGTTTACTGGGAGAGAGGGACGGGACTGAGCCTCTTTGTTGAGATTAATAGTGGTATGAAGATACTAAATGGAGAATAGGCGGCTTTATGGGATGTGATTTTGCCGAATGGGAAATTAGCGCTACAGTTGCACGTGCGTAATTGTGGTACATTTGTACCTGCGGACTGTTCATGTCTGTAGAAAGTGTCGATGAGTTTCCCGGCAGCCGGGAGCGGCGCGCCGTGCTAGGTATGGGGTGAGAGGGAGGAGCGGAGCACACGGAGGTGCGGTGTATCCCTGGGGTACAGATAGTTCTGTAGGTACCAGGAGTCAGGAGAGGAGGAGGCCTTGCCGGTGCAGGCCCACCCATGCGGGGAGGACGCAACGGCAGTGACTGCGGGCTCCCCACGCGCGCCCCGGCGCCGGCGGCGGCTGCACCGGGTGTCACGGGCTGGGGCTGGGTCGCCTCAGAGGGGCCCCGTGGGCAGAGCGTGCGGGGATGGGGCACGGCAGGCCCTGGGCCCGGGGCGTGCGTGAAGGTGAAAACGTGCCACAGAGGCCGCAGGCCCCTCTCGGGGCACGGGGCAGGGAAGGGGAGCGAGTCGGGGCGCTCAGCCCCAAGATGGGGGGGCCGCTGGCAGAGGCCCGGCGCCTCCGGCCGTGGGGGGCCCACTGGGAGCCGCCTGGGGCCTGTGTCAGCGGGCGGGAGGCGCCCGGGGGCCGGCGGTGCCCGAAGCGCTCCGGGCTGCGTGGCCGGCCCCGGGACGTTGCCGGCGGCGCGGCGGGCAGGGCGGCGGGGCGGCGGGCAGGTGGGGCGGGGCGGGGCGGGCGCCAGGGTGGGCTGGGGGGCGGCGGCGGCGGCGGCGGCGGCGGAGCCCCGCGGGCTGCGGGGCGGGCGGCCGCGAGTATTATGGGATGTCTGGGCTGGACGGTGGCTCCTGGCGACTATTATGGGATGCCTGCCTGAGCGCGGGGGGGGGGGAAGGGTGACTATTATGGGATGTGCGCTCGGGCTGTGACTATTATGGGATGTTGGGGGGGGTGGGTTACTACAGTGTCTGTGTGGGGGGGTGGGGTGTCCCCCTCCCCGCAGGGGGGACGTGCCTATTATGGGATGGCAGGCCGGGCGACGCGCGTGCGGGCGAGGGGCCGCGCCGCGGGGGGCGCCCTGCCCCAGCGCGGGGTCCCGGGCGGGTGGGGGGGGGCGAGTATTATGGGATGCTGGAGCGAAGGGGTGCGAGCTTGGGGAGTATTATAGGATGTTTCTCGGTGTGTGTGTGGGGGGGGACGTATTATGGGATGTTCCCGGCGGGAGGGGTTATTATTATGGGATGCCGGGCCGGGCAGTGAGTGGGAAGTTCTGAGGGGAGGGCGAGTATTATGGGATGTCTCGGATGGGGGGGGGGTGTTGCCGGGGAGACGGGGGCGGGGCCTGTTGCCGGGGTCCCGGGGCATATTATGGGATGGAGGCGGGAGCGGGGCGGGACCTGGCCGGGTTTTTTCCCCTTTAAGAGGCGGTGCCGGGGCCGGAGCCATTTTCCCTTCAGCAGCAGCAGCAGCAGCAGCAGCAGCAGGAGAAGAAGAAGAAGAAGAAGAAGAAGAAGAGGGGGAAGAAGAGGAGGCGGCGAGACAGGAGCCGGGGTCTGGAGCCGGGTGAGGAGCCGGGAGGGGACGAGGGCGGGCAGGGCCTTCCGCCGCCTCTTGGGCGTCCCTGCCGGCGGGCTCCCCTCACCGCCGGTTCCCGGTCGCAGCTTTCCCCCGGGGCCGCACCGTCCCCCAGACCTGGCGGCCGCAGGACCTCTCCCTCCTCCCCCACCCGGGGCCGCGCCGGGGAGCGGCCGCCCCGCCGGTTCCCCTCGCCCTGGCGCCTGTCCCTAGGGAGAGGCGGCCCCTCGCCGCATGCGATCCGGACTTCCCCGGCCCCGCCCCGCGCCCCCGCCCGGGAGACCGTGCCCCGCCGAGAGGCTGCCCCTCTCCCCCCCCCCCGCCCCCTCCCGCCGCCCCCGCCCTGCGCCGCGCAGCCCCGCTCCGGGCGGGGGCGCGGGTGCGGCGGGCAGCGGCGCGGGGCTGCCGGCGCCGCCGAGCCTGCCCTGCCTTTTGTGTGGGGCCGGCGACGGAGAAGGACGGCGACGCTGGCCTGCCCCTCCGGCCACGGCGGTGTCAGCCCGGGGCCGTCGCGCCAAGTTTGGGCGGGCGAGTTGGGGACCTGCCGGCGGCGCCGGTTCTGCCGCTGTCCGCCGTACCGGGCCCCGGGGTCCGCCTGCTGTGGCTCGCTGACAGCGTTCCGGCTGGCCCGAAATCTCCTTTGGAAGCCCAGCTGGCTCCCCTGCCTTGCTGCCTTCAGCCCGAGGCAGAAATAACCGAGGACACCCGGGTGCAGAGGACAGGAGGATTTTCCTATAGGACAGCTGTTTTGGCTTCCTCGCCAGAGATGAGTTGCTGACTCAGTTTAATATCTAGTGTCTTCAAAGCCTGCTTCATCAGAACTCTAGCTGATACTTGCTGCCAGTGTTTCTATTATCTGTAGGCTCCAAATCCACTAAAGTTGCTGTCTAAGCTTTCTCACAGATCCTCTTGGTAGCACTATTGCTTGGGAAAACGGGAGTTCAGCGCCTGCTATAACTTTCTCTTTCTTTTCAATGAAGTACTGGCCTGACTGGCAAGAAGACAACACCCTGTATAATCCCAGGCCACCCCCAGCTTGGAGGACATGGCATCAGGCATTGGGTCTCCGTCACCATGCTCAGGGGGCAGTGATGATGATGAGATGGAGATCCTGTTGAACAACGCTATCCCCCAGCATCCAGGTATGGATAACCTGCAGGGCATGCACGTGAAATGGGGGTAATGATGGTCTCACACTGAATATGTGAAATACATGATGTGCTGGGGAATGTTTGGGTTGTTGTGGGGTTTTTGTTGTTGTTGTGTTTGTTTTTTTTTTTTTAACTGCGAGTCACATATGGTTTTGATTTTTATATCTGAGTCCTAGGTTTACTTAAAAATGTGAGGCTTGTGTCAGGTGGAGCTGACTTTGTTCCAAGCCGTTGCAGGTCGTTGAGGCCTGTGCTTTGAGGAGGTGCAAGGGGTGGAGGCAGAGTGTCCAGTTTTGATGGGGTACCAAAATGCTTGCAAGTTCATGAATGAGGGGGTAGTATGTGAAAGGGCAGGGTGCCTGGCTTTCTTTCATCCGGGAACTCAGACCGGCTGACGTCCAGAGCAAACTGCCCTGGGCTGTTGTGTGACCCACTTTCCTTCGTCACCACACCCAATTATTGAGGTTTCTCGTGGTTCTTGCTCCGTGCTGCTTGCTCACCTTTGCTTTTCTTGTAGTCTTTGTACCTTGCCTTTTCCCTCATGTTTGCATCCTCATCATCAACATGAGACCTGACTTAGAGCCCTGAGCGCTCTTCTGTTTTGGGGTTGTTTTGTTGTTGTTGCTGACTTGCTCTGTGGACCTACATCTGGATTCTCTGATTCCTTGTGAAAAGAAGTAATGTATGTCCTGATGTGCTGGATTGTAAGACAAGTTTGAGTTTTCTTATTGGCTCGTGCTGTAGTGTCACGTAAGAGAAATGTTGCCACTGGAAAGGGAAAATCGTGTTGTGGGCTTTTTGTGGTTTTGTTTGTTTAGCTTTTTTTCTTTAAGCTTTGACTTTAGGGTTTTCTGGCACCTCTGAAATCTTAGGCAGAAGGGGACTGTCAGTGAGTCAAGGAAAATCTTGGTGAAGAAAAACTGTTGAAATCCCTGCAAACTGGAGAGCTTTAGGTAATACATTGGAAAGGATGGGACACTAGAGGCTCTAAATCAGAATGGGAATCCCCGAAGGACCTGATGTTAGCAGGACTGTGGGAGTGAAGAGATGTGCATCAGTTGGGAATATGGCAGGGGTGAGATGCAGGACCCCACGTTCTGGGAACTCGACCCCTTCTGTTTCACCCCTGGCTGCGGTAGCTCCTCTGACCTGTGGCTTCCTCCATCGTGCCCAGCTCCTGTGGTCAGGAGGCCATTTTCCCTTGGAGGGAGAAGGAGTGACTCTGGCTGTGGGCGGGGCAGCGGGGGAGGGCGGCTGGCCAGATTGCTCCAGCAGCCTGCCACAAAGGGAAGGGCTGTCTGGCTGCCTCTGCCCCTCAGGTGGGGGGCAGGCAGGGTGGAGGATGCACGGATGGGAGTGTGTGGTAGTGGGGTGCTGGCATGAGTTTCTTCTGGCTAGGTGGTAGTGAGCTTGCTAGCTGTTGATCCAGAGGGACCGGGGTTGGGGGAAGGTTGTGTCAAATCTGGATTGAAATATTTGCCGAGTAACAACTTTACTGTGGAGGAGGACAAGTGGTAGCTTCCTGGCCTGTATTTTGCATGTGGCTGTAGGATGCTCTATACTGCTCTAGGTGCTAGTTAGTTGTGGGTTTCTTTCCTGGAGACCCATGGACTAAAATGGTATCCTAGTCAGGTTCTCAAATGTATTCACTGTTTTGTCTCCTTTACATGTGGCCATCTATTCTGTGCTCTTTCCTCCTCTTGCTGGATTATGGCAAACTTCTGGTCCCTAAGACCTGAGCGCAGCTCTGCTTGGAGAAAGAATATTGGGGAAATAGGTGGTGTTAGGGGGAGGGGGAAGACCATGTGCAGTGGTAACTTATGATATGATTTCCTAGTATCTGTTGTGAACGATGACAGAATATACAGGTGTAAACTTTTCTATGTTTGTAAGTATGTAGCGAGTAGTAGACAAGTTGCGTGATCACCAAATGGGCTATGCTGTAGTGCACAGATGCTGTTTGAATGAGGCATGTTGCCTCTTCCCCTCCAGAGCCTGAAGAAGAGCCAGAAGAAGAGCTTCTGTCAGAGGCGGAGACACCTAAAATCAAGAAGAAGAAGAAACCCAAGAAACTAAAAGAACCCAAAGTGCCCAAGCTCAGCAAGCGTCAAAAGAAGGAGGTAAGGAAAAGGATGCCTAAGGTCGTAATCTAAAGTACAGGTATGTGGGATGAGGGTGCTTACTGTTGTTGGCCTATAGCAGCAATCCTCTGTATGAACTCTGTAGAGCTTGGGGAGAATGTGGTGTTTAGTGCTTATCCAGGGTATTTTCTCACAGCTGCCTGATCTTCTCTCTCCCTCCCTCCCCAGCTGGGGGACAGCTCTGGTGAGGGGAATGAGTTTGTGGAGGAAGAGGAGGAGGTTCTGCGCTCTGACAGTGAGGGCAGTGACTACACTCCTGGGAAGAAGAAAAAGAAGAAATTGGGACCCAAGAAGGAAAAGAAAAACAAAGCCAAGCGCAAGGAGGAGGAGGAAGAGGAGGAAGAAGATGATGACTCAAAGGTGAGAAGCCACCCTGCTGACTGCCTGCTTGCTCCTCATTCCCATCTGTCTGATTTTGGGGATCATTGTGCTCTCCATTTGTGATGGCACGTGGAGTTTGGGCTGTTCAGTCTTTCCTTCCTCCACTAGACCTGTTTGACCATTTTCCTACCTTGCATTCCTTCCCCTCTTCTGCCTTAAACACACCTAGAATGTATATTGAATCCAAAGACGTTTTCCACCTCCACTGATACTTGATTAGGGCTGTGTCCTATGGCTGCGATAAGCGGATAGGGGAGAAAAAAAATGCCCTGGTCCTGACCCACTGAGTCATCTGTAGATGTGTGGAAGTCCTCTTCTTTCCTAGAGCCGAACTAGGGCTTTTTTAAAGAGTTTCTGCGTTTCTCTTTGCACAGGAGCCGAAGTCATCTGCTCAGCTCCTGGAAGATTGGGGCATGGAGGATATTGATCATATTTTCACAGAGGAGGATTACCGCACTCTCACCAACTACAAAGCTTTCAGCCAGTTTGTCAGGTGAACTGTAAGCCTGCACTTGGAAGGACTCTGGAGCAAAAAAAGAGCTGGGACAAGAACTGGGGTCCTTGGTTTTGGAACCTCAAGGCACATTAGAGATACTAGTGTCCTACCTAGAGCAAAAACTGAAGCAACAGTAAAATAAATGACCCACATCTTTTGTTTGTTTTCAGTGATTGAGATGATGCAAGTCCTCACTCCCGGTCTTCCTTCTTCCCTAGTATGCTAAATTCCGTTTAATTTTCCAAGCCCCTGAGCATTTGCATTCTTCACACAGAGTGAAGGATGGGAATGGAGAGATTCATTGGCTGTTCAGATCAGAGATTAGAAAGGAATGTAATTTGAGATAAAGGTGGTGATGGGGGTGGCAGACCATGTTGGGGATCTAGATTTCAGGGTGGTTCGGTAACTCTTCCTTCCTTAACTGTACACAGGCCACTTATTGCAGCCAAGAACCCTAAAATAGCAGTGTCGAAGATGATGATGGTACTGGGAGCCAAATGGAGGGAGTTTAGCACAAACAACCCCTTCAAGGGAAGTTCAGGTGCATCTGTGGCAGCTGCTGCAGCTGCAGCTGTTGCAGTAGTGGAGAGTATGGTGACGAATGTGGATGCTGTCCTGCCGCAGCCCCCTGTAGATGTGCCACTCAGGAAGGCTAAGACAAAGGAGGGCAAAGGTGAGATGAAGAACCTGGCAGGATGGTAGAGGGACGAGTGTTGTCAAGGCAGTAGTCCTGACTTGCAGGCTTCTCTGTTCCCAGGACCCAATGCCCGGCGGAAGCCAAAGGCCAGTCCTCGTATTCCTGATATCAAGAAACCCAAAACAAAGAAGGTGGCACCTCTGAAAATCAAACTGGGAGGATTTGGTTCTAAGCGTAAAAGATCATCAGTAAGTGATGCTCCGTCCTTGACCTTCTGAAGAGAAGGTGAAGATGTGCTAGAAATGTTGGGATGCATGTCTGATTGAGGCCCCGCAGCATGTGTGCCTGAGTAGCATAGCTTTTTTCTTACCTATCACAGAGTGAAGATGATGATCTGGATGTGGAGTCAGACTTTGATGATGCCAGCATCAACAGCTACTCTGTTTCAGATGGATCTACAAGCCGTAGTAGCCGCAGTCGCAAAAAACTCAAAGCTGGGAAAAAGAAAAAGAAAGGTATTGATGCTTGCTGTCAGTTGGAGATAGAGGCACAGCTAAGTGTGTAGACATTCCTTTAATCTTTCTGTGCGGAATTTGGATGTTTAACAGCATACTTGAGAGGGAATTGTTTGTGAATGAAGAACCTGAGGATATTTTTAATAAAGAAAAGGCTTTAGGAGTTCCTTTTTACATTGATAGGAAAACAGACATAGTGCTGAGTTTTCCTGGTCTCCACTGCAACTTTAATTTCATAGGTGGAACGAGGTGCAAGAGGGCTTGTTTTACCTCTGTTCCAGCTCTTGCTCCCTGCCCTGTTTGTTACATAGAGCAAGAGTTCTGGATCTCTATATCACTACGTAGGCTGTTGGGAGAGTACCCTTCCTTGCTGTAGAAAGCCTGTGGCTTCTGCTGCTGTAACTCCTCACTACCCTCTGCAGGTGAGGACGACTCCACTGTGGCTGTGGATGGCTATGAGACTGATCACCAGGACTACTGTGAGGTGTGCCAGCAGGGAGGAGAAATTATACTGTGTGATACCTGCCCTCGTGCCTACCACATGGTTTGCCTGGACCCAGACATGGAGAA